ATGAATCAGTAGGAGTATGATTTGAGCTAGAGGTTTTTGTAAGGTCTATAGAGACAGTAATATATTCTTCTGTTTCTAAATTGTCAATAAGTAATAAAGGGATTTGTGAAGTTCAATCAGAAATGTAATAACTTTCAGAGAGCTTGATAGATGTAACTAATTCACTATAAGGAACTAAGCTATCTTCTGAGTTATGTAGAAAAGGAATATTATCAGTAAAATTAATATCAGTAGTAGGTAGTAGGATAGAACTTTCTAAATTTCCAAGGTGTTAACTAAATTCTTCTGGTTCTTCAAAACTAAAACTTAAAGGAGCATTAAGGTGTAGGTCAAAAGTGTTTTGGTATTCAAAAGGTAAGGTAGAAAGTTAAAAGAGGTTAGTATATTTTCTAACTAAAGTTAAAGCAATTGTTCTAAGATCACTAATGTCTTGTTGGTAGCAACAACTAAAAATAATATTTCTAATGCAAAGGCAAATTGTAATTCAGTTTGGATATGAAGTAATAAGAACAGTAAAGTTGTCCTGAGTTTGGAAAGAATAATGTTGAGCTGCAAAGTTGGTTTGGTACCAAGTTCAAAATTGTTCAAAATTTGAGCAAGAGCTAGTATGTTGAAGGAAGTAATACTAAAAACAAGATAAATCTGAATGCTGTGCTTGAAGTATGTCTACTGCAAGGTGAGATCCAGTTAGGTGTGCTTGTTGATGGCCTTGGATGTTTTTATTGTAAAGTTTAGCAGCAGTGTAAACCATAAAAGAAGAAATGTTTTTATATCTGGAACTCTGCTAGGATAACTATACTTGTTGGCAAAATCCCAAACTATTATAAAATTAGTTTGTCCGTGCCCAAATTCCAAACTCTGGCCAAATTCATATCTCAAAAATTTAATTAATAATCCTTATTCAAACTAATATCAGATATTCTTATAGTTATATATAATATATTAGCAAAATTTCAATACTATTTTTTTGATTCAATTTTTTATAAATAACAATTGCTTTTTTAAATTTGTCTAGGTTTTGCCATTTTGCCAGCAAGTATAAGGATAACTAATACTTGTTTGGATCTCTTGCCAAAATAACTAATACTCATTCAGATCTCTTGCCAAGATAACTAATACTCATCCAGATCTCTTGCCAGAATTACTAATACTTATCCAGGTTTCTTGCTAGGATAACTAATACTCATCCAAGTCTCTTGCCAGAATAACTTTTTCAATATGTCTAAGAATGTTAACTTTTTTGCCAAAAGGCACCAAATGTTATCCCTTAAATTGTAACACAGGCAAATTTGCTTGCATTAATTTTTTTAAAATTAATTTTTATAATAAAAACTTAACAATTAATTTTAGCAATATACTTTCTAAGTAAAAAAAATTTTTAAAAACCTACTTTGTAAACTTTTTTTTTTTGAAAAACACATCTAAGCATGCTTTTTATTTATATATTAAGATAGTACTATATTTATATTAGAGATTTAATATATCTAAGAATGATATTAATTTTTTTGTTTTTTATAAGGGGCTGTTTATAGGCTAATTTATGAAGCAAGTTAACTTCATAATTGAGCTTGGTTTTAACTATATCTGCTATCGATTGAATTGGGATTATTCTGTCTCTTCATCTAGCTTGAGTGTACCAACATCAGATTTTATAGATAGTAGAGATATATAGCCATAAGGCAGTTTTACGTTTTTTTATATTATTTATATTTGTTGCCTGTAGAATGTTTTTAAGTAAAGAAGGTAGTTGTACCTTTTCTAAAAAGTTGAGAAATTTGTATGTGGTTTTCCAGATTGTTTTGCTTAGTAGATATTTTAGTGTGAAATGTTCAATAGTTTGAGAGACCATGGAACTGTTTGGGCAGTCTCCTAAATTGTTATAAGCAATATGCTTAAACTGGTAGCCAAGAGGCAAAGCATGATAAGCAATTCACCAAAAAATATCTTTTTTCTTGTTTAAGATTTCAGGAATAGTAAGCCAGCTAGGTTGTAAAGACATGCTTTCACTGCTTGAAGTGCTATTTGGCTATAAAATAAACTGTTTATAGAGACTTTTAATTGCTTTTTTGACTATAAATTCAGCTCCATTCATATTACTTATTTTGATAAAAGATGTTTCCTATGACCAAATTGTGTTTGTATCGATTTTGTCTTTGAATCTATACTATACTATAACATAGGGTTTCCATCTTTCAGACCAGCTTTTGGTTCTGCAAAGAGTTTGCTGAAGCACTTCATGAACTTGAATATTTCTTTTGTTTGAGAGTTTGATAGATATTAATTAGTTTTCTTTCTGTTCTGGCCCATAAGGTGTGGCTTGATAATAGCTTAATCCAGATTGATAGGAGTTTGGCATCTAACATGTCTTTTAGCACTAGGGCTGCAAGACCTCCTTGTTCATAGCTCATTTGAAATGTTGAGTATTGCAGAAGCATTTTTGAATTATTTTTAATTCAGCCTTATATTAAATTATTAATTTCCCCTAGCTGTTTTCTTGATGATGGTAGAAGATATGCTGAGTACCATATTTTAGATATAATTAATGTTTTAGCTATGAGAATTTTTTCTTTAAAGAATAGATTTCTTTTTGATAGATCTTGAATTTTGGATTTAATTTTTTTAGTTAAGTTGCCTCATAGAGATTTATCTGAGTTTTCATATGTATTTGTGATATAACCTAGAATAGTAATTGTCTCTTGGTTGTTATTTATTAGCTTAAAGTTTAATTGTCTAGTGAGTTCAATTTTACAAGCATTTTCTGTAATTGGTATGAGAATTGATTTTGTTTTGTTGATTTTTGCATTAAAGGCTTTTTCATAACAGAGAAGAATTTTTTGTAACTTGGACTAGTCAGAAGAAGAGCCAATGCCAATTAAAAGATTATTTGCATAGGTTGCAATTTTAAATTCCTCATTATTAACTGGTATGTCTTTGATATTTTGTTCAATTGCTTGTATTAGTGGATTAATTGCAAGCACATATAATAATAAAGAGAGAGGGTCTCCTTGTCTAACTCCTTGCTCCACTCTAAATGGCTCAGAAATAAGACTGGAGTCTACAATTGTGCTTTTTGAGTGCTGAATAGAGCCCTTACTATGTTGATAAATTTGTTGCTAAAGTTTATTTTTTTAAGAACAAGTTAAATAAAGGTATGGTTAACCTTGGCAAAAGCTTTTTGTTGGTCTAGTAGTAGCATTCAGTGTTGTTTAGACTGGTCATTTTGATTTTTGAAAGTTTTAATTATGTTAAATGCTATGTCTGCTATTTACCTATAAGCAATAAAGACTTGTTGAGATGGCCTAATAATGTTGTTACAGATAGGGTTGATTCAGTTGGCTAAAATTTTCATAAAGATTTTTGCATTTGAGTTGACAAATGAGATTGGCCTCCAGTTGTTTATGTTGATTAGGTCATCTGATTTCTTAGAGATTAATCATACTTTTGCTCCAGAAGGTTGGTATTTTGCTATTGTTCATTATGTTATTAAAAAGCTTAGCTAAGGTTGGCAATATGAGCTTCTTGGTATCTTTGTAAAATTCATAAGATTATCTGAGCCTGATGCTTTGTTGTTTGGTAATTTATCAATTACTAATCCTATTTCTTCTTCTGTTATTGGTTTAGTCAATAGTTGGTTATGTTCTAATAAAACTTGTATTAGATTATTGATGAGTTGGTTTATGGCTTCTTTGTCGATTTTTTTTGTTTTATAGATTTCCTGATATGTTTCTTTAATGTAATTTAGTACTTGTTCTTGTAAGGTGTTATTTGAACTATTTGGTATTTGTATTTTACTGCTACAGGCTGTAAAATATTTTGATTTGTATAAAGAAAAAAAGTATTTAGTAGATTTCTCACCTTCTTTGATCCATTTAGCATTTGATCTGATTCACTATTTTTTCTAATAAACTATTAATCTCTTCTTGTAATTTTAAGTTTAAGTCTTCTGCTATTAGTTTGAGCTCTTCCAGATTGGGGTTTTTGGCCATTTTGTTGTTTATATTGCATAATTTTTTATGAATTCTTTGGATGTTTCTTTTAGAAGAAGGTGGAGGTCTATAGGCTCTAATTATTAACTGTACTATGCACTTGTGTAAATCCCAATTAGAGGTATCTTTAGTTTCTTGGAGTTTATTGAGAATGTCTATCTTGATTTCTGGAATTTTCTAGTATTTTCTGCTAAATTTTCAAGAGGATTTATGATTACAGGAGGTTTTAAAACTAAGTTTACTTTCTACTAGAAGATGGTCTAAGTTGCCAAAGCGAGTGCAAGTGTTTTGGCAAAAGTGACTATAATTAGAGTTTATAAATATATAGTCTAGATAGGTAGCCATTTTTAGGTTTCTATATGTTGTTTGGTAAAAGGTTAGAAAGGGATTTTTAATGTTGTTATTGCTATATCAGTATATTCTAATATTAGATTCTCAAGAAGTTCTCTTAAGCGATCATTTTGAACAATAGCTTGACTTATTCTATCCTTATTAGGATTTATGTTTGTGTTGAAGTCTTCAGCAATAATATTAATACTTGTATTTTCTAAACTTGGAATCTATTTTCTAAGGAAAGTGACTCTCTTCTCAGGATTAGGTGGTGCATATACATTCATAATTGTAAATAATTGTAAATAATTGTTGCTTTATTTCTGCATTAGCAGAAATTACAAAGTTTGATGTTCTTTTTGCTAGCTAGAATTGCTGTTTTAGAGGACCAAAAGGAGTCGAGTCTCTATTGTTGTAAAAGAAAGTTTCTTGTAGCTTTGTCTTTAAGGTTGGTTTCTTGAATTGTAATTATATCTAAGTTGTATGACTTAAGTAAAATAAATGTTTTTTGTGCTTTGGCTTTGTTATTAAGCCCTTTAACATTCAGTGTAGCAATTTTGATCATAAGAATGAAGTTTGTATTTATAGTTACACCAAGTATGTTAGTTCTTAATAAAGGTGACCTAACTTGGAGCTGCCTTACTGAAGAAACTTCTTGCTTTTACTTGGACTAGCAGTTCTGTCCTAATCTTTCTTTTTGTCCTTATTTCTTTTATTTTTAGAGATAACTAGTATAAATTCTGCTTCATTTGACTCTAAAGATGTATTCTTAGCAATTAAATTAGAAGTTAAGTCAGCATTTGCCTCACTCTTAGTTGAATCAAAGAATTGGTTCTTGGTTGAAGATTTGACATGCATGTCAGTTGGGAAAGTTGCAGTTTTGTTAAAGTCTTGAGACAAGTTGTCTAAAGTCATATGTTTATTAAAGGTTTGGGGTTGTGAAACATTTAATTCCTCTATAGATCTTTCTATTTGATATATAGGTTGTCTGCATGAAATTCCAGTTCTGGTGCTGCAAGTTTTTGTTCTTTGGCCTTTTCTCTTTGCTCTTTAGCTTCTTTAAGAAGATGTTTTGTTTCTATTAAGATTTTGAGTTTTTTACAATCCCTTTTAATATAACCTTCTTTGTCATAGTAGTAGCAGATTTTAGAGGCTTCTTTCCATTCAGTGATAACTTTGTGATAGTTAATATATGTATTTCTTGTGATTTTTTTAGCTACATCTGGATCTTCTATGGTTTCAAATATAATTAACTATTGATCTGAGCAGATATTGGTCACTTTGAAGAAGAGAGGTTTAACTGATGCAATTTGCCTTACATCTTGAAAGGCTTCTATGATTTGGTTACTAATGTGCTTAGATTCACCTAAAGACATGTTTCTCAGTTTTACTGTAAGAAAGGTATGGTTAAAGTTGATCAGAATGTTTAAAAAGTGTAATTCCTTCTGTAGCATAAAGTTAAACTTTATCATTGTTTTTGAAATTACTTCCAGGAAAGCTCTTTTTTCTCTGGACATATGTATTTTGGCTGCTAGAAAGTCTTTTCTGATACTTGAAGCTAAGGCTGTAATGATATCATTAGTTGTAATGTTGTTAAGACTTTGTATATCTAAGATTAGAGTATTGTTGTTTTTGGAATGAATTCTTTGTCTAGGGGTGGAGTTTGTATAGATTGCTTTTTCTCCTTTAAGCTTTGCAAAAAGGTCTGACCATTGTTTAGGTTTGGCATTTTTTGTAGTAGTAGCTTTTGTATTGTTAACTTTCTTATTGTAGGTTGTTGCCACATTGTTTGTGGCACTCTGCTGAGGTTGAATAGTGTTTTCATCAACTTGCATATGTTCTGATATGTTGCTATTAGACATGTATCTAAAATTATCATCAGAAGGCATGTGATTCCATTGTTGTTTGTTGTTTACTTGAAGTAGGTTTGTTGACTTTTTGGCACTATTACATGCTTTGTTTTGGTCTAGAAAGCTAATGTTTTCTTTATTTGTTTCAAGAAACTCATTTTCTTCTACTTGACTAGCCTAGCAAGCTATGCCTTCTATTGCATAGTTAACTGTGAGGTTGTCAGTTTCCTGAATAAAGTTGTTACTGTTTTCAGTTTTTGTAAAGTTAAAGGTTTTTTCTGCTGTTGTGTCAAGTCTGAGCTTTTTGTATTGAGCCTTGTTTATATTTAAAGACTTTGTTTTGTATTTCTTTGAGATAAGAGCCCTTGCTCTGTAAGAGTTCTGAAATAAAAATATATTGATTTTTGTTGAAATTTTGGGTTTTGCTTAATTTCTGAAGATGAACCAGAAAGAGTTTTTATTACAGGTTTTATAAACTTTGTTAAGAAACTTTTTTTAACTTTATTAAAAAACTTTTAATTAATTAAAGTTTAAAGGTTGTGTAATATTAGGAGTTACTATTAAAATATTTTTCAGGTTTCTTAAAGTTTTATATATTTCTGAAGCTAAAAAAAATTTTTGCTTTTAAGACAAGTATTAATTTTTATATATAAATAACTAAACTTGTAATAATTAAAATTGTAATCTTTAATATAAACTAAAAAGTTGTATTAAAAACTATATGTTTAAAAAAATTAAAATTTAAAAAGTTTATCATAGATAAACTAAAAAATTTTTTTACTAAAAAGTTTTTTTAAATTTGTATATTTTTGGTCTATAAACAATCTAATTTTTTTTTTATAATTTAAAAATAAATACTGCAAAAAGGTAATCCTTATTTTCAAATATATATATATATATTTTTTAACTTAGACAGCCTTGCTGATCATCTTTATTAAGATTCTTGTATACATATTGTACAAAGTTGGCTTAAATTTTTGGTTCAACATCTTCTGGCTGTTTCTGTGAGTGCTCAGAAGCAGTATGTTGCATGGGCCAGATGATTATTCCTGGCCTAAGGCTATATCAAGCTAGCTAGTAAGACCCTGAAAAAAGGGTCTTATGTTTCTATTTACAAAACTAAAAACTGAATCAAGTCATGTTTCCTGAACTTGAACCTTGTTCTTCTCTTTTTTCTCACTCATAACTTAGTTCTGTTCATCTATATTTATATTCTTTCCTTCTTTTTGTGTTTCCTTGCTTGAAAGGTTTTGTTTTTTGTTGTTTTCCTTCTTTTTATTTGTGGTATTAATTTCTACTAATTTTTTCCAGTCGGCAACTCTATTACATCATTTTTTCTATATATTTTCAAAAAATCCATTCTATGCTGCATTTGTAAATACTGTTATAAAGTTTTTGGTTTTCTTTAGAGATTGTGTAATATCTTGTACCAACTTTTTAGCTTTTTCTTGTGTTAAACCTTTAATGATTTTGGATTTGCTTGCTGATCTTTTTTCGTTTTTGTATAAATCTGGTTGTCTTTGTATCAAGGTCTTGAGTACAGGTAGTTTTTTATTTACACATTTAATTAATGTTGCTAATTTCCTATTCCTCTTCATATTTGTACATTTTGTTCTACTTTGATCCTTAATGCTTTGTTATAATGTTGACCAGTTGTGTTCTTTTTTTTCAAGGTTGGTTTTGTTTTTTGAATTGATGATGTGAATCTCCATTCTGCTCTGACTTTAAGTTCTAGTACATTTTTGATAAACTTTCTTGTTAGGCTTTCGATCATTAAATTCTCTTAGCAGAGTGAAATGTTTGAATTCAAAGGTGGCACCTCTATTATTCTCTATTTTGCCCTTCTCTTTTGCTAATTTATCTGCTCTATCATTCTATTTGTTACAACTATGTCCTTTTACTTTAACTAAATCTAAATCTAATTTTTTTATACTAAGTCAAGCTCTTCTGATTTTTTCAGAATTAGTATGATTAGATTCTTGCACTATAAGACTGGAAGGATGCCAGAGTTTAAAGTTTTATTAAAGATCTTTTCCAAAACTGGTGCCACTGCTTCTTCTATTAGTTTGTAGAATTCATAAGTTAAGCCATCTATTTTAGGCAACTTGTTATTTGGTAGGTTTTATATAACTTCTATTATTTCTTCTTGTGTAATTCTTTTAACTAGGCCTTTGTTGGATTCATGTTGTACTTGTGAAAGGTTTTCTGTGATTTTTTTTTGCTGCTTTCTTGTCAAACTCTTCTGCTTTGTAGGTTTCTGCATATTGTTCTTTAATGTACTGTAAAATGTTCTTACCATTTTGATGCTTACTATTTGGAATTTTAATTTTTAAATAGGCTGCAAGGGATTTTTTTTGTTTATATTTTGCAAAGAAATATTTCGTTGATTTTTTGCCTTGTTCTATCCATTGCACTTTGGACCAGATATGCTATTTTTTTGCCAAAGATGTTAATTCCTCTTGTAGCTGTACATTAAGCTAATCTAGAGATAAAGTCAAGCTTTCTGAGTTTGATGAACCAGATATTTTTTCACTTAACTTTGTTATTTTATTATTAAGCTTTGAGATTTTGCTTTCTGTTGTTCTTGGCTTCCTAAATGCTCTTATAATCGATTGTATGTAGACCTTGCAAAGATTCCAGTCCTCTGTTGTATTTGATTCACTAATTTCCTCAAAGACCTCTTTTTTAAGTTTTTCATTATTGAACATGGTTTTATTAAATCACCAGCTGGATGGTTGTTTTCATTTCTAGTTGAAGTTGAGTAAGCAACTAACTAGGAGATAGTCAGAGTTACCAAAATGTGTGGTGACCTTAGAGACTAAATGTTATTGATTTTCATCAATAAATATGTAGTCTAAACATGTTGCCATCATGTTACCACCTTGTGTTTTTTGGTGAAATGTAAAAAAAGGCTTAGAGCCTGTGATTTCTGTCATGTTTGAAAAATTTCTTGTTAATTTCAACAGTTGGCTTCTGAATAGGTTTGGCTAAGGTGCAGCTTGACTTATTCTGTTTGCTTCAGGTTTTAGGTTTATATTGAATCTCTTGCTATAATGTTTATTGCATTTTCTTTTATTTGAGAAGTCCAGTTATCAAAAAATATTACCCTGTTGCTAGCGTTAGAAGGTGCATACACATTAGTAATATGAAATAAGAGACCTTTGTAAACAAATGATGTTGTGATAACTTGTTCATCTTGGTGTATTTTCATATTTTTAAAGGTAATGTTTCTGTTTTCAGCCAGAATTGCCACTTTGTCTGACCAGAATGAGTTATATATCCATTAGTATTTTAAAAAGTTCCTAGTGTTTTCATTATTGAGATTAGTTTCTTGTATCATTATTAAATCTAAATTGTAGAATTTTAAGAGTGTTAATGTTTTTTGCTGTTTGCCTTAATCATTTAGTCCTTTTACATTCAAAGTTGCGATTTTGAGTTTGAATTTTGGAGGCATGTAATGTATGAAAATTTTGACCTAATTAGTTCTGTGAGGGCAGTTCCTCATTGCATTGTTTTCTATATAGGCTAGGCCTAAATTGGTTTTTATCTTGTATACTCTTTCCTTTTTTATCTTTGTCTTTTTTACAAAATGGCATAAGGGTCTCCTCATTGTTAACTTCCATTATAGGTAATGTTTCATCTGTATTTTTGTTTTCTGCCTGTGGTTCTGTATTAAGGTACAGTGCAGCCAGTTCATTGTGAAGTGCTAGTACTGGGTCAGGTAAGAGGTCCTTATCTTTACTTAGTGTAAAGTTTCTTTTGTTGTTATCTATTTCCATTGAAGATAACAAAGGCCTATTTTGTTCTTCTTGTGTTAAATTATTTTCTTGTAAGCCTGCACTGTTAGTAATAGGTATATCATCTTGCAAGTATGGGTTTTCTTCTTTGTTAGCAGTATTAGCTGCATGAGATTCTTGTTCTGGCCTGATATTTGTGAAATTATCTTTGCTGTATAATCCAATTCTTTTTTTTAAAGTCTTGATATTGTTGGTAGAGGGCTACTGATTTCTGGAATAGCTGGCATTCCTTTTTAATATGCTCTTCTTTTTTGCAGAAGTAGCATACTTTTGCTGCTGCCTTCTATTCTGTTGTGACCTTGTTATCTCAAATATGGGCAAACCTTGATATTTTACCTTCTAAAAATGGATCCTCTGTAGTCTCAAAAATTATAACCCATTGATCTGTTAGGTATGGTGTATCTTCAATTAACAGAGGTTTAATCAATGCTATTTTACCTATATTCTCAAAAGCATCTTTGATTGAGTCTGACAGTTCTTCTTTGTTGCCTAGTGGGACATTTCTGATTTTGACTGGCAAAAATGATTTTCTCATATCCATTGGAACATGTTCTGTTAAAAATTTTAACACCTTTTGTTGCATAGATCTTTAGTTTTTCTTTATCTGTGAAGATGATTTCTAGATGTGATCATGTTTCTTTAATAAAATGTTGTTTAGCTGCAATGATATCATTTTTAGCAGTTTCAAATAATATAATTTCATTAAAAAAGCATTGTAGGCCTTTTGTATATCTATAATAAGAGCATTTTCATTTTTTGATTTAATTGTGTTCCTAGGAGAAAAGGATGAGCAAGTTGACTGGCCTTTTTTAAGTTTAGGAAAAAGACTTGACTATTTTTTTGTTAATGGTTCAGTCATTCTGCTAGAACTGAGAGTTGTATTTCTTTCTAAAGTGGAGTTCCCTTGTTTGTTCATTAACTCATTTTGAGTTGTTGTTTCCATGTTGTCTTTGTTACCTGTACTAGTCTCAGAAACCTCTTTGTCATGTGTGTTGTTTTGTTGTTATCTTCATTACATGTACTAATTTCGAGAACCTCTTCATTAAGTGTGTTGTCTTTAATAACTTTTTCATTATGTGTGAAAGTATTGTTGTCTTGTTCTACAAGTGTTGCTATGTTGTTGTCATTTTTTTCTACCAATGAACTATTTTCTTTTGTCACATATATTCTATTTTTTTGAGTTCTTCCTTATGCATATTTGTTATTTTCTTGAGTTTCTTAGTTTTTTGAGCTACTTGTTCATCCCAGCTAAGGTTGTTTTTGTTGACATGTTCTAGTGAACCTGAGTTATTGCCTTCTAGCATTTGTTGTTGTTTTTTATTTTTTTGCCATAGTTAAAAGCTTTAAAAGATCTTTTTCTTGAAATAAGGGCAAGTGCCCTTGCTTTGAAACCTTTTTTAAGTTTGTTTGTCTTGCTGTTGTAGTTTATTTTCCTGTTTAGTTTCACTTTGCTTCTAAATGCATGTGGTCTGGAAAGAGTGTATGTAGATCCCATATTCTTTTTGGTATTGAGCAGCCTTGCTGTAGAGCATACCAATTCTTTGGCTCTTGTTTTAACTTGGCCTTCATTAAGTTTATTATTAAGCCAAATTTCTAAGAATTTTGTTATTTTGGTTTTTCTTCTTTAAAAATCTATTCATTATTCAGTATAACCTTTCTATTTTCTTTTGATTCACTTGGATTCATTATAATGAGTTTTGATTTCTTTCTATTTATCTGTCTTCAGCAATTTGTAATATACACTTTATTTGCTCTTTATTACTTGCTATTCATGTTGTATTATCTGCAAATGCCACTACTGCTTGATGTGATTTTATCTTCTCTGTATAGTTTAGTTTGTTATCATTTGGAATTGCCACTACTATTGTATAACCTAGGCCTACATTGTTCTGTATTCTTTCTAGTAGTGAATCATAGAGTACTCTTCATATTAATGGTGAGAGAACCTCCTCTTGTTCAATTTCATCATTTATTACAAATGCCTCTGTATGACCCCAATATGTATTTATTTTAGATTGTCTGCCTTGAAATAAATTTAATATCATTGAGATTGTTTTTCCTAGCATTAATTCTTTTCATTGCCTTTTTTAACACAATTAGCAATACTGAATCAAAAGCCTTTTTCATATCTTGCAAAACTAATCATAGTTCATTGTTGTTCTCTTTAGCATCTTCCATTATTGCATTTATAATATGCACTAGTTCCTCAGTTGAGTTTCCTGGCAGTCCTGTGAAGTTTGGCCTTTTGAGTATATTTCTTTTGCAGAAAACCTTTGTTAATCTTTTAGTCAGAATTTTTGTTGTACATTTCTGAAAGGTCTCTAGAAGTGCTATTGGTTTAATATTATCTAAATTGTAATGCCAGTCCATTTCTTTAAGAATTGGGTGTATTTGTAAAATTTTCCATTTGTCTGAGATTTTGTCTGTTTTAATACAAATTTCTGCAAAATTTCTAAAGATTTCTTGGGACTTAGGTCCTGCTGCTTGAATTAGAGTATATGTAATGCCTGAAATTCCTAGTGCCATTTTCTTTTTAAGGCCTATTAACATTTCACTCCATTCTTCATCTGTTGGTACTATTCTTTTTTTATTGTTTTTTTTTTGGGTTTGTATACTTCTGACCATTGTTCTTTAAAAATTTCTTGATTAAAATGTCTTGTTCTAAACTGGTTTTGGTAGTATTCTTTTGTCTTTTCTAAAACTTCTGTTGATTTTATAAATAATTTTCTTTGTCCCTTTACCTTTCCTATCAGTCTATCTATTTTAATTTTTTTTTGATGGTTTATCTAATAGACTTATTAGCATTTTGCCTTGCTTTTCATCAATTATTTGGCATCTTTTTTCTACATTTTCTTTGATTTCTTTTCTTCTTTAATTATTCAATTCACTGGCCCTTCTTGCATGAAGTATCTTTTACCAACCTTTTAAATTCTCAATAAGTTTACAGGACCAACTCTTCTGTACCAAATCTATGTACATTCCATGCTGTTGATTAATAAAGATAATTTCTTTATTTAGGTCTTCTATGTAGTCTTCTAAGTAACCTAGTTTGATATTTTTTCTTCTAATTTTATCCATCTTCCTAACTGGATAAGTGTTTTTTCCAATTGCACTTCTTTTGTGTTCTTTCTTTTGTTAAATGCTGTATTTGATATTTTCTTTTTTGAAAGAAATTTGTATGCTATTGTAATGATGCTATTGCTGATCATGTCCCACTATTTATTTATGTTATTTCTAATGTTTTCCTTTGATTGAGCAAACCTCTCCAAATCTTGAATAGAAATTTTCCTTTCTAGTTGCTTATCAAAATTTTGCTTATAGTTAATCCAATCTTCTTCAGTTGCTTTGTCATACATAATTACTGTTCTTTTGATGTTTTTTCTTCTAATTTCTGCTACACTGTATGATGTAATCAGATGATCCAACTTTATTTTTGCTACTATCGCATTATGATCATTGTTTGTACATATGTCCATTAGCTGAATTTCTGCTTTGTAAAGACCATTTGCTAGTTCTTCTGTAACCCAAATATAATCAATTCTTGAATTTGAACCTCAACTTGACCAAGAGACTTCTTTTGATTCTGGATTAATTAATCTAAATGCATCTCTAAATTCTTGTTTTTCAAGCCAACCCAACAATGGGTTTCGTTTTGGTTGCTTTTTTCTTAATTTTGTTAGTCTATCTAAGTTGACATCTATTACACTGTTAAAATCGCCCATTATCACCATTTGTATTCTTTTGAGTCTCTTAATGTGCTTGTCTATAATTGTTTTTTGGATTTGTCTTCATTTTTCTTTGTCATTTGGTGGCAAGTAAGTCATTATAACTATAATCTCTAGCTGTTTGAACATGAAACTAGCTGAGATTAATACTCATTTACTCTGTCTATCTACTTATTGCTAATTAGCAAACCTATGCCTAAATCTTTCTTTTTGTCTAAACATGCATTTGTCCAAAACTTTTATATCCTTCTAAATTTCTTGTTAGGAAGAATTCTTCTTTAGCTGAGATATTTGTTTCTGAGAGCTTTATGATTTCAAGTTTATTATCTATTATTCATTTATATAGTGCTTCTATTTTTTGATTATTTGCTTTGAGGCTGTTAATATTGTATGTCACTAGTTTAAGTTCTATTTTTTCATTTTTATATATTCTTCCTGTATGAATTCTATGTTGAGTATTTCTAGTTCTTGCTAAAACTTGTCTTTATCTATTTGTTTTTCCATTTCTTTATTGTTATCTATATTCAGTAGCCCCACTTCATCTTTTTGAAAGTTTTCTTTTAGATATAGAGTGTTTTCTTGTATTATTTCTGTTCTGACTACTTGAACTTGTGAAGAGGAGCACATCTCTATATCTGTTAACTTCAAGTTAACTTCAGCAACTATTAGAAGTGGTTTGACAGTTTCCATCTTACTACCATGCTGTTATCCTCTTTCTCCTCTTTCTGCTCTTCTAATTTGTCAAGTCTGCTAAGTATTCTTAACAGTAACCTTTCTGTAGATGTTTCTATATCACCTTTTTGCACAATTTTGTTTCCTCTCTTTTGATTTCTCATTTCTTTCCTTCTTTCTTCATATTTGTATTCTTTTTTCTGAGTATTGTTTTCTTTTTCCTTATCATCATAATTTTTGTTAGTTAATCTTGTTTTCTCTCCTATCTTTCTTTTTAACCTGTAGTCTTTCCAAAAGATTGTATAGTTGTTGTACCTTATTGGTTTGGACTGTGCTGCTTCTAATTCTTTCTGGCTTGCAAATGTAATTATTGCAAATTTTCTGAAATTACCATTCCTATTTGTAGGAATGTATACCAATTTTGTGCCTTTAATTTTTAAACTTTGCAGAAGCAGCACCTCTGAACTTCTTTGGGGAGCTCTAGTAATTTGGCTGTATAAAGACTTTGTCTATTTCTTTGTTTATAATTTTCTTTCCCTTGAGTTATTCAAACTAACTTGTTATTATCTAATGGTAATGACTATGAGGCATATTCATCATTACTGCTTGTAACCTCCATTATTGCCAGTACCTTAAATTGTGATCTTTTGACTTTTACTATATGTATATTGCCAAGGCTTCTGCATATATACTCTATTTCTTCATACTTAACATTTACTGGCAAGTTCCAAATTGTCAAATATCTTGTAATTTCCATCTTCTCTTTTTCCTTTTTGCTGAAGCTAGGTTTTTCTACTTTTTCTTTAAGGTATAAGTTGAATTCCTCTTTTTGTGAACTTAAGGCCACTCAATATCTTTCTTTGTATTTTGGTTTTATTATCTCTTTACTTTCTTTATAATGTATGTTTAATTTTCTTTCTGAAGTTTTAACCTCTTTTGGAATAAGATTATACAAGTCTTTTTCTTTTTCTTTAATGTGCTCACTTAATGTCCTTCTGCTATATTCACAGTCAAAATCAACTACCACCCAGCTATTACCATTCTAAATTTTTTTTCAATTGTCTTGATATGTTTGTTTCTTCTATGAATCCACTTTATATAGTTGATTCAGTATTCTTTAGTATCTCCTGAAACTTTAAAAGATGAGATTTTTGCTTTAAAGAAAGCATATTTGTTACAGGTTCTGTTTTTAGGTGACCAGAGGCTATCTTCTAACTGAGTTGCTACTAGTTTGATTTCTAACTCTTTTTGTTTGGTTGTTTCCCTGACACTTTGGATTATAATTTTTTGTGAAGTTCTCTAACTCCTCTTGTGCTCTCTTCTATCTGACACTTCTATACAGTTATCATTACTTACTAATAGCTTCTTGTTTTTACCTGTTAGTTCTGTTTGTTGTACTACTTTTTTGTGTTTAGTGTTTCTATTTGCTTTATGCCCTTGTTTACTTTTATACCTGTCATCATTATATTTTTTGTTTGTTGTCTTTTCTTTGATATTGCACTAGAATAATTTTCTTCATTTCTATTATTTTCTTCGATCCCTTCCATCTTGTTCTTTTTCTTTTTTATTTTCTCTTTGTTTAAACTTAACATGTAATCAACTGAGCTTAGATTTTGGCTTGCTATCATAATTTTACTGACCCAATCTTCAATAGTTTTCTTTGGTACTGTTTTAGCTTCTTCTGATGCATATCTTAGGACTTTGAGTATTTGACTATATAGTAGAAGATCTTTAGTTGTAATTTTTTGGAGATCACTGAGAGCTAAGTTTTTTGCTATAGTTTCTAAGTCACTTGGTTCTTTAGTTATGGATGTTTCCAAAATGCAGTTTAATTCACTGCAGTTTAAGTATCTATGCAGTTTGTTACCCATTCCTTGCACCTGCTGGATTAGGCTTTGTTTGTTAATTATCTTCATTCAATTACTTTATTTGCTTGATCTATTTTTGTATTTTTGACTACTATTTCCTAATTTAGTTTTGTACATGACTTGATGTTTGTTGTTTTCTTTTGCTGATTGTAGTAAATTACTATATTTGGAATATAGCTGCTTGTTTGTTTTTGATGTTTACTGTTTTGGTTGATCATATATGCTTTGCAATTTTTCTGAAGTAGTGTGATGTTCCACTTTTGTTAGAAACAATTTTTTCAAAACTGACTCCAATATTTCCAAATAATTTGGTTTCAATAGAAGTAAATTTTATATTAAAATAAGAAGAAAACACACTGAATAAGTAAAATCTATAGCCTTCTAAATACTTTAAAGAGAACAGATCAAGTTGATTAGTCTGTATGGGTCAGAAATAATAAATAAATGAAATTTGTTTGCTCTTTACTAGAGTTGCCAAGTTTATACTAGCAACCAGACTGCAATTAGCTGCTTGTGGCTTTTGAGATTCCAGTAATATTAAATCTAACAGTGTTAAATTTAATATTTTTAAAGAAAGCTATATTATTAAAGAAAATTTATAGTATTGTTTTTAAATTTTTGTCAATTTTGTTTGTTTTGCAATCTATGAGAACGAGTTGAAAAGTGAATCCTTTTTTGTTATTTTCAAATATTATTATACCAAATTTTATTTATATATTTTAATAATTTAAAAAAGTAGATCAGAATTAAAAAAATGCAAAAATGCAGACAAATTTGCCTGTATTAGGCTACAATCTAAGGTATGAGTGAAAGCCTTCTTAATTTTTATACTATAACAACAACACAGTACAGGAAATCTCTTACAAGTATATGTGGTATTCAAGAGGGAAGTATAGCTTCTGTTAAACATTGTCAAGAAACTATATTCTTCTCTGAGGCAGTTTGGAAAAGGTAATATAATACTAATAACTTTACTTTATTTTACTAAGAGAAAATAAACCTTGTTTGTAGGAATTACCCTAGTGGAGGAGTATCAATACAGTTTATAGTTAAGAGCTGTTTATTAAAGTAATAACAAGAAGGACTATCCTTAGATTTCTGTTTCTAAAGAATCCCAAGATGTATTTATAATATTAAAGAGAAGCAGGATGTCTGTTGATTTTTTACACTTGGGGAATTTAGCAGGGTTTATATATCTGTGAGTTAAGTGGCTAAGCAGCCAAGCAACTAAGCAATTAAGTAATTAAGCAACTAAGCATTAAGTGACTAAGTGACTAATGATTACTAAGCAACCAGAAGGTTCTAGCAACTAATAACTAAAGATTACTAAGCAACTAAGCAACTAAGTGATTACTAATCAACTGAAAAGTTCTAGCAACTACTAGTAATAATAATAATAATACAATAATAAAATAACATACTAAATAATAATAATAATAATAAAATAATAATAACAATAAAAAAAAACTTTTTCTGGTTTATCTCCAGAACTTATAAAAATACAAAATTTTACAGCAAAACAAAACAGTTCACTTCACAAACTCAAGCAAAGGGAGATATATAACTCCCAAAAAGTGTAAAAGACTGTAAGTATGGCAGAAATGATGCTATAGCTGTAACAAAAAACTCTTTCCAGTACACTTTCGGTAACAACACACAAAAACTAAATAAAAACTTTTTTTTAAACTTCTCTGGTAGGGCTAAAGCCCTTATACTCAAGAAAAGAAACTTATTTCTGTCAAACATGAGCAGCTTGATATCCAAGAGACCAAAACTTCTTAACACTAGAGCCAAAAAAAAGAACTTTGACTTGTCATCAGAACAAGAAAAAACTCCTATCATAGAAGCAGAAACAGCAAACACGCCATATTTACCAAATAGTAAACCAAGTAAAAACAACAACCAAGGTAATGAAAACTGGGCCAGTAACATAGAACAAGAAGAAAACCAGTTGGTAAAGGCAAACAAAAAGCTACTTCTTCTACAAACAAAAACAACAAGGTAAAAAACAAGACATGTGCAGTAGCAAATACAGAAAACAACAAACAAACAGATACAAAACACATGCATATCGCACATGACAAAATTGATACACAAGACAAAATCGTTGATAGCACAACATCAAATGATGTGAATGACAAACCAGCTAACAACAAACCCAAGCAATGGTCAGATTTATTCTCAAAGCTGAAAGGAGGCAAGGCAACCTTCTCTAACACAGCACCCAGAAACAAGATCTATTCTAAGAATGAAAATGCTCTTGTTTTTGACATTTCTAAGCTTACCAACATACCTACTAATGACATCATCTCAACCCTCTACATCAAACTGGGAGAAGATATGCTAGCAGCAAAAACTCACATTATCAGAGCCAAACGGGCTCTCTTAGAAATAGCCTTCTCAGATAAAGATAAACAACAACTGTACACTTCAGAAGGGATTACAATGTTTAAACAAACATTCTTCGGATATGTCCCAGTTAATCTTAAGCATACATTCCTTTCAGTTAAATTGAAAAACACACCAATGGGCAATAAAAAAGTTATCAATGAACAGATCAAGGAAGCTTTTCAGGATATTAACACCATTGCCTCTATAAAACCACTTCTATATGAAGGAACCCCAATATGCTCTGACCAATGGATTGTAACTTTTGAAATATCAAATGATCCAAACCTGATGGCCAGACTACCTAGACACACACATGTTGGTAACCATAAAGTCACTACAGACTGGAAGGAGGCTCCAAAAATATGTTATTACTGTGAAAAAACAGGACATATTAAAAAAGAATGTGCAGAACTTAGAGCTTCAATGGAACTAAGACAGTTACAAAAAAATCCTTAATGGAAACAAATAAACTTAACCAAAAAATGCAAACAGAAAATATATCCTACAGTCCAAAAAACCCATATATCTCAGATATGGTCACAGAACAAGATGGACCAAACACTAATGTACCAAATCCTAATCACTCAAAAGAAAACGACTCAATCAATACTATAAATGATCAGGATGTAACTTTTGAGGAAAACACAACCAGTATCTCTATTTCAAAAGATGGTTCATCTTTAATAGAAGTGAATCACAAGAACACAAATAATGAAACACCTGCTACAAACCATGACCAGGACATAACAATGGAACTATTGGACTGTAACAAAGAAAACAAAACTAAAGAGAAAGAATTTACTTTGGTCACTTCAAAAAAGAATAACTGAAAAGGAAACAAAAAGAAAACCCTTACAACAAGTGAGGAAAGTAACAAGAGTAGGACAGAGAATGCCTGAACAGGCTTCTCTTCCTACTAGTTAATCATTCTCACTCAGAACAAACTGCCATGTGGCCAACATATCTCTTTATATCTTATGATTAAAATTGCCACACTGAATGTCAAAGGCCTTAACAATAGAGTTAAGGCTCAAAAAACCCTAACACTTTTAAAGTCTTATAAGTTAGATATAATATTTATCCA